AGTAGTAGTAGTAGTTGTAGTCGGTATATTGTAGGGGTGGGCGATATGGCCTAAAATTCATATTGCGGTATAACTTGGGACACAGACGGTAGACGTATATATTGCGGTATAATTTGGTGTGTGAATTTCAATATAGGTCTATCAGGTTCTTGCATAAAATAGTCAAGATTGTTACTTATTTATATATTAGAATATTTTATGAGTTGTGAGACAAATGAAGAGACAAATGCTGTAGACCATTTACTGTAAAAGCAACAAAAAAACAAAACAAACATATGCATTCATTTAAAATATTTAATATTAATAATTAATAATTAATTAATAATAATTAATATTAACACGCATGGATCTATTTTGGCTCACGCTGGCGCTTCGAGCCTACGCCCCTTTGACACTGATTGGCCAAAAGGTAGACGCTTAAACTGTGATTACTGTGTGTGTATTTACCTCTGCTGGGGCCGCTGTGACAACAACACAGAGACAGAAACACGGTGTTAATGCCGTGCTGTTTGCTGTTTCCAGTGGTGTCCAATAGTGCTAGGCTAATGCTGCTAGGCTAATGCTAGGCTAATAGTGCTAGGCTAATGCTGCTGAATGCCGGTTTGTTTTGGTCCTTTCTGCTGGAGCCTGCGCAATTTGATGACATAATGACCTATTGCAATATGCCGGTATAACAAAAATCTCTACCGTGGGCCAAATTTATATCGCATACCGCTTATACCGTATATATCGCCCAGCCCTAGTATTGAGAATGAGGAGTCACGTGATAATTTGGGCGGGGTCTAATCCGGTCGGCCATGTTGATAGGATCCTCTATCTGTTGCCAGGGGCAACGCCACTAACGCTCAATATATACAGTCTATGCTAACGCTCCAGAGGTCTTTAACTTGAGCGGCCGTTTATTATTTCGGCAGTAGATACATCTACGATTACAACACTAGCAAGACAGTTAATGGAGAAAGTGAAGGCGAAAGGAAATGGACCGTACAGGGAAAAGCAAAACAACGTTATTTGGAGAAGCTCTCAGACATACAACAGGTAAGCTAGACCCATACGAGCTTCCTGCAGCGGAGTGGCAAAAATACCTTGACTTTTTGCCTCCGTGCACGTACATGGATATAGTGAATTACCTTGTTTTCGGTGTTAGTTATTATACAATGCAGGAGTTTAGAAGTCACAAGTCACTGGAGAGTTACGAGGCTTTCTGCTGTGGTTGGGTGCAGGACTTGGCCATCTACAAGCCTCCAGGCGGTGAAAACACTGTTGTACTTGCACTAACAGCAGTGTTACTATTTTATTATGTTGTCCGTCTTTTCATGCTGAAATATTTATACATTGACAGCACACGTTCTTTTCTTAAGCCGAATAGTGCCACTATTCAGCTTAAGAAAAGAACGTGTGCATTCAAAGTATAAATATTTACAGCATGTAAACATAAACAACATAATAATTAAATACTATAATTAGTGCAAAAGAACAAAAAACATACAAAAAAACCCCCATTTTTTTATTGTTTGGATGTTGTTTGTTCTTTTGCACTAATAACAGTATTATTATTACTTATGTTGTTTATGTTTACATGCTGGAAATATTTATACTTTGAATGCACACGTTCTTTTCCTGAGCCAAATAGTGTTTTTTTGTTGGTATGTTCGGTTCTTTTGCACTATCAGCAGTGTTACTATTTTATTATGTTGTCCGTCTTTTCATGCTGAAATATTTATACGTTGACTGCACACGTTCCTTTGCACTGTTAACTTTTCCAAGAGATTACACCCCCCCTCCAAAAAAATGTTAATTTCTCAATAAATATTGCTTTGCCACATGAAGGTGTTTCAAACATTTATTTCAAAGAAATTAAAAAGGCAAGGCAAGTTTATTTGTACAGCACAATTCATGTTACAAAACAATTCAAAGTACTTTAAATTAAAAATTAAAAAGCATTACAGCTGGGTGCAGAAGCATTAAAAAGTAACAGAATAAAAAGCATGATTTAAAATTAAAAACAAAAATTCATAAGAAAAAGATAACAGACAAGTAATTCCAGCTTAAAAGAAGCCGTGCAGATTTGTACATTAGAATAAAAAATATTCAAAAGCAGCTGAGAACAGGTGGGTCTTTAACCTGGGTGTAAACAAACTGAGTGTTTCAGCTGATCTGAGGCTTTCTGGGAGTTTGTTCCAGACATGTGGAGCATAGAAGCTGAATGCAGCTTCTCCGTGTCTGGTTCTGACTCTGGACTCGGATCCAGATGACATGAGGGGTTCTGGTTGGTTCATAAGTTATGAACAAGGCACTCAAACAACACTTTTGCACATGTTCGTTAAGGCACAGCAAACAGTGACAATCTTATCTAAAGGCATTAGGTTTTCACCCTCACATTTGAGAAGCATATGCACAGGTACAGTTGAATGTAAGAATTTGAATTTGTTGCGCACAACACCAATCACCCTCTCAACGTGAATTCTGAGATGGAAGGTCTAATCTGAGGCGCATTACAGTCAATAGGACAAGCTGGAAGGGTGAGAGCTTCCTCATCCTTCCTTGAGGCAGCTGCTGGGCCGGCGATGGGGGCTGCTGGGCTTGGGCTGGCGATGGAGGCTGCTGGGCCGGCGATGGAGGCTGCTGGGCTTGGGCTGGCGATGGAGGCTGCTGGGCTTGGGCTGGTGATGGAGGCTGCTAGGCTTGGGTTGGCGATGGAGGCTGCTGGGCTTGGGCTGGTGATGGAGGCTGCTGGGCTTGGGCTGGTGATGGAGGCTGCTGGGCTTGGGCTGGCGATGGAGGCTGCTGGGCTTGGGCTGGTGATGGAGGCTGCTAGGCTTGGGTTGGCGATGGAGGCTGCTGGGCTTGGGCTGGTGATGGAGGCTGCTGGGCTTGGGCTGGTGATGGAGGCTGCTGGGCTTGGGCTGGCGATGGAGGCTGCTGGGCTTGGGCTGGTGATGGAGGCTGCTGGGCTTGGGCTGGTGATGGAGGCTGCTGGGCTTGGGCTGGCGATGGAGGCTGCTGGGCTTGGGCTGGCGATGGAGGCTGCTGGGCTTGGGCTGGCGATGGAGGCTGCTGGGCTTGGGCTGGCGATGGAGGCTGCTGGGCTTGGGCTGGCGATGGAGGCTGCGGGGCTTGGGCTGGCGATGGAGGCTGCTGGGCTTGGGCTGGCGATGGAGGCTGCTGGGCTTGGGCTGGCGATGGAAGCTGCTGGGCTTGGGCTGGCGATGGAGGCTGCTGGGCTTGGGCTGGCGATGGAGGCTGCTGGGCTTGGGCTGGCGATGGGAGCTGCTGGGCTTGGGCTGGCGATGGAGGCTGCTGGGCTTGGGCTGGCGATGGAGGCTGCTGGGCTTGGGCTGGCGATGGGGGCTGCTGGGCTTGGGCTGGCGATGGAGGCTGCTGGGCTTGGGCTGGCGATGGAGGCTGCTGGGCTTGGGCTGGCGATGGGGGCTGCTGGGCTTGGGCTGGCGATGGAGGCTGCTGGGCTTGGGCTGGTGATGGAGGCTGCTGGGCTTGGGTTGGCGATGGAGGCTGCTGGGCTTGGGCTGGCGATGGAGGCTGCTGGGCTTGGGCTGGCGATGGAGGCTGCTGGGCTTGGGCTGGTGATGGAGGCTGCTGGGCTTGGGCTGGGAGTGATGACTGCTCCAGATGCTGGGTCCTGCGCTTTACTTGCCGCTGATATTGCGCTCCATCTGTTTCTTTAACAATATTGTGGCCTAACCGCAAGGATGGTGTCCAGTCAGGGTGATTCTCCAACATCTCATATGAGGGTTTACCTAGAACAGAATAATCTATGTAGTCAATGCTTTAAACTGGCAACAAGGTAGCATAATGTCATGAACAGAATCTCAACTATTTTTAGCAATCTCATATAATGGTTTACTTACATCAGATTAATAAGATTATTAAACAATCTGGAATCTAAAGAAATATTAAACAAGAAGGTAACGCTATTCATGGTTTCATAAAAGGGCTCAGGGGGTAGTGGCAACACAAGACAAAAAAAAGTTTGGGCACCACTGGTTTAGAGAACATAAGAGACAGAGACAAACGCACTTTGAGTGCCCATATTCCACCAACAAGGTAGGATAATGAGCAGAAACTTAAATATTCTTAGTTAACATTAATGGTTGGCCATTAAGCATTTTCATAGAGGCAACAGTTTGTTAGATAGTTAGCTAGGCAGCTAACTTAAGATGCACTTCAGGGTTTGCAACATTAACAGCTAGGTAACCTACACTTCTTAACTTTAAAAAAACAACATAAAGACATTTTAGGACGTACCCGAGTGAAAATGCAGAGAACACACTCTCATCGACTGGGGGTGAGATCGAAAGTAAGGTCCTTTCTTCTTATTGCAGCCAACCAAGCCATCCGGCGTCTCTTCGTCAGGTCAGACACTGCGCTCCCTGATGTTGTATCCATTTTGGTAGCCTAAACAATTGTAAACCGTTGTTCCTACGTTTTCCTTTCTTATTGTGTGAGGTACTGGAGCAGTTTTTCACACAGCAGCCAATTGCGGCCCTCAGTGTGATTATATGTGGCCCTCTGTCCAAAGTAGTCTCTGAAATCATCATCACAAGTTCACTGTGTCATCCATCCAACTTCAGCTCAGCCAATATAGACCTCGTTCTAAAGCCAAGTACTTGGTTTTTGATTGTGTCACAAACTTTTGCTATTGGTGCTACTGTAGCTGGTGAGATGGTAAACATGTGTCATTCAGCCAACTTCAGCTCTGTTATAGATCTTTTTTAAAGCTCAGAACAGCCCGATGCCAGACAGTTTTTCAGTCCGTAATGCCGTCCCCTGGAGTAGTCTGGTGAACTAAAGTGGCCCTCTTACTAAAATGTTTGGACACCCCTGTTCTAGACCACGGCAAGACAAAGTCAAATTAGCCAAAAAGAATGCATATTAGTTCTTCTTTGAATTGTTCTTACTTTTGTCCTGACCAAACCTGGAGCGACACAGGCACAACTCCCCTAAGCTCACGTTGACGGTCTGTTCTGTGTTTCTTACAGATATTACAGGAAAACTAAACTAAGTGGCTTCCAGGACATGGAGTGTATCCCCTGCAGCGACCCTCCTCCTCCGTACGAACCGCACTGTGAGTACTTTGGCAAATCAAGACTGTTCATCCAGACTATTATTGACGTTTGAGGGTTTGTGAGCGCCAGGGACTAGTTTGAGAAACCGCGGTCCCTGGTTTATGGCAAGGGTCTGGATCTACTGGAGATATTCAGCCCCTCTCACACAGATCCCCAAAGGCTTTGAAAATAATGGGTTTTACGTGAGTCTAAATGCATAGTTAAGATGTATGTGCTTTAAAAATGTAAAACTGTAATAAAAGCTGGAACCATTTTTTCAAATCAGTCAATCAGCATTATTTTATTTCCAAACCCATACAACAAAAATGCACAGGGATGAAACAATAACAGACAGTGTTAAAATGAAAGGGGTCATAAAGTAAACCAGCAACGCCTGTAACACAAAACAATATTATGAGACACACACACACACACACACACAAAGGAGATGGCTAAAGCTAGGCTAAAGGCTAAAGCTATGCTCACTCGGGTGCATTACATACCTAAACTCGGATCCAATCGTTTCAATCTGTCAAACGATGGTACGGTAAAACCAGGCTATGACATATTGAGTTTTAAAAGAAATGTAAAAATAAAAGTATATTTATGTAAAAAAAATAAAAAAAAAATAAACAACTTTATTTTTTGCAGTGGCACAGAACAGAACAATTTTCATTCTGAATTCTTTCATTGTCAGAGTAGAAGCTCGTCCCACTTCTTCTTTCAGCTCAGAGAAACATAAATGTCCTGGTTTAATCTAAACTACATTTTCATCCTGGGCTCCATGATTAGAGCCGGAGCATGTCAGCACAAGGTCTGCACTGGAGAGGTGCATTGTGGGTGGAGGCACCAGCAGCTTGTGGCACAGGTCACAATAAAGTGTGGGATTTCATAGAGCAGTCGTTGAAAAGCTGAAATGGATCCCAGTAACTGTGCAAACATGGAATTAGTGCAGAGCTTTGTAAATGTGCTCAGGAGAACAGAGAGAACCTGCTTCAACGAGTGCTTTGGAAAAAGTAACAGAAATCTCACAAATACAAGATCCCGAAGTCTTTTGACAAGACCCAGAAAAATGCAGAGATTATCACCTACAGAGAAGTGTTGATGATCCAGGACACTCAACATTCAGAAGCATTTATGGTCATTTATCAACACCTGTGGGTTGTGATTTAGGGCGACACAAGAGTAAATGGAATTGAATACAAAAATACTAGTGCTGTCCTAGCCTGACTTTAGCCATCTGTAAACTCTGGTCCATGGTCGTCTCCTACATGTACGTCTGGTCTTACCATGTGTAAACTCTGGTCCATGATCATTTCCTACATGTACGTCTGGTCTTACCATGTGTAAACTCTGGTCCATGATTATCTCCTACATGTACGTCTGGTCTTACCATGTGTAAACTCTGGTCCATGATCATCTCCTACATGTACGTCTGGTCTTACCATGTGTAAACTCTGGTCCATGATCATTTCCTACATGTGCGTCTGGTCATACCATGTGTAAACTCTGGTCCATGATCATTTCCTACATGTACGTCTGGGTCTGATCCTAGTGGCTGCAGTTTCCTCGGTTGAATCCCCTCTGACCAATCAGAGAGCGGAGGAGGCGGGTGTTGTAGGTCGGTGTCGGTGACGTCAAGAGTTTGTGCTGAATTTGCTGGTTGTAGTTTGTCGGAGAATGCGATAGTAAAATAATCTGTTTTGGTTCAATCCAAATATCAAGAAACTGAAGCCGGAGCAAGAGGAATGCAAATGTTGTTGCTACTGTAGTCCGTCTGTTTTGGACATTTTATTCCCAAAATCAGTCTGAAAAAAATCCGACCTGTGATTGTAAGGTGTCATTAGGCATAAATCATGAGTTCAATATCCGTGTAGGCCCAGGTCTTTCTGTGTGGACTTTGGATATTTCTCCCCATGTCTTGGTGGGATACCAAAATAGATAGATAGATAGATAGATAGATAGACAGTAGGTAGTTTGGTTGGTAGATAGATAGATAGTAGGTAGTTTGGTAGATAGATAGATAGATAGATAGATAGATAGATACGTAGATAGATAGATAGATAGATAGATACGTAGATAGATAGATAGATAGATAGACAGTAGGTAGGTAGATAGATCAGCACTACACCATTGACTTTTTAAGCCCAAACTGGTGTGTGACCCAAATGGTTACTGAGGACTTTTTTTCTTCAATGCAAGTCAATAGGAGCCACTTCCCTATTGGGCTTCATCAAGCTAGCGGGTTAGCATTGTGGACCCATCTGTTTACAGGCTGTGGTTGTAACGAAGACCATTTTACCATTAGCATATGACCTGGGGACAGGAGGCCTCCAGCTGCGATTATCTACTGAAGTCTAGTCTAGTCTAGTCTAGTCCAGTCTAGCCTTGTCCAGTCCATGCAGAGAAGGTGTGCCCAGTCCTTGACCTAAGCCTTGTCTCTCCACCAAGCTTAAGATTTACACTCACCAGAACATTATTAACTATGATTAAAAGTCTGTCATGAATTGGGTTAAAAATTGTGGAGAAAACATTAATGAATACAAAGAGCTGTAACCACAAATACTTGTTGTTGTGTGTAAACGTGCAGAAAGTGAGCTGTGAAGTGCGATAGTATCAAAGCGGGATCGACATTCACAAGAGACGGAATCAAAGATAAAGATGTCTGGACTTGTAGCGGATGATCGACAGCCGCTCGGTGCCAGGAGTGGGTGCAGCCAGAATCACCGGCTCCGAGTCTTGTGCAGAAATGTGTTCAAGAAGTTCAAATTCAGGTTCATTTATTTTGCCATTTGCAGTAAAACCACGTTGGAATTTGTGCAAAAGTCACCAGTGTGCACCAGACAAGTACATAAATAAAATCATGATTGTGTTGCTTCATCTCTGTGTGGAGTGGGAGACAAATGCCCACAGCAGTTGTAAAGGCGCTATACACTATAAATAAAAATGACTTATTTATTGTATCGTCCGCACATTGGCAGAACATCTGACCTACACCGTGTGGAACCACTCTTTCATGGGACGTGTCATCAAATCAAACAGTTTCAATACTTTCAGGTCCTTGTTTCGCAGACATCATGTTTGATCCAGAGTCATTCTGTAAAAGTGGACAATAGTTTAGACCGAGTTTAGCAGTTTATAAAATATGTCATGTAAGATTTTAGGGTCACATTCTGAAGTGATCAAAAGTCCAAACACCACCATCATGTTGCTGTTCCCGCCTCAGCCGTGTCCCGGAGCGTCAGGAGAATGAAGAAGCCGTTTGCTTTGCCGAACAAAGCTACTTCCTCTTTTCTGACAAATGCTGTGAAAAGTCAACATTCTCCAGAGGTTGGATTTATTACAGCGGGTTCTGTGTTTGAACGGTCAATAACAGGTCGGAAATATGTGACTGTGTTTAAAGAGTCCTGTCGCTGCTTCCTCAGTGCATTTATGATGATACCAGGAGGTTATTTCTGACCAGAGTTCACAGACTGTACCATGGACACAAACATGCTTAGCTACTTCAAAGGGGGTGTCAAAAGTATCAATATCCTGTGTCATTTAACAAGACTGAGCTCCGTATTATATATTATTAATTCAATCTGGAGAGACCAAGACAGACACGTTAAAGATGTATTAGAAATATTTATTTGTTTGGCGCATTGACCTCAGCAGTGACACTTTCAGAGGGGAGACCACTGCTGCTCAGATTATCTCAGATCCCCCAGGGTCAAGCACTAGTGGGGGCTAGAAGCATAGTGTGAATGGGGCGTAGGCGGAGCAGGAGCCAGAGCAGGAGCCAGAGCAGGAGCCAGAGCAGGAGCCAGAGCAGGAGCCAGAGCAGGAGCCAGAGCAGGAGCTTGAGGAGGTGCTGGGGAGGCGGTGGGTGTCAAGAGCTGGTTAGTAGGAAGTGACTGCTTTTAAACTGCCGGCTTTGCTGTCAAAATTGCACGACAATGTCAATCGGAAAGAGATTCTGGCAAAAAAAATCCTATATTTTATAAAAAGAACGTGTTTTTCATGAATTTAAGTTGTCTATGCTCTAACCCAGTGGTTCCCAACGTGGGGGTCCCGACCCCCCGGGGGGTCGCGGGAACCCCTGGGGGGGTCGCAAGATGATTTCCACACAAACAAAAAAAAAGATTTTTTTTTTTTTGAGCAAATATAAAGCCCTTAAATATTTATTTAGCATTTGATTTGATTCAAAAGGACTACTTGTTAAATTGTGTTTGGAGACTATAATATATTTTAATAACGTTAGTAATTTTGTCCCAGTCATCGCAGCGTCAATCAAAATCATCACGTAACACAGCTCACATCATGCGCAGCGACAAAGCGTGTCCTGCTGTTGTTTGCTAAAACTAAAGGTGTTTGGAGGCTACAAATAAATAATACTAAGTCACTTGTATCAGGGGTCAGGCTGATGGTGCGAAGAGAGGGAGAGAGGGCAAAGGAGGGAGAGAGGGCAGAGGAGGGAGAGAGGGCAGAGGAGGGAGAGAGGGCAGCGGAGGGAGGGAGGGCAGAGGAGGGAGAGAGGGCAGAGGAGGGAGAGAGGGCAGCGGAGGGAGGGAGGGAGGACAGCGGTAGAACAGCGCGTTAAAGAGGCCCGGCTTTTCGGAGTCAAAGGTAAAGAGGTCCGCACATTAAAAGCGGGTGGCCGGTTTATGCCTTTACTGACAGTAACTTTGGAAAGAGAAGCCGCGGGGATGAACCGCATAAAGTAACAGCAGAAAGCGGCCGCCCGCTTTTAATGTGCGGACCTCTTTACCGCTGACTCCGGAAAGCCGGCCCACTTTACCGCGGTAGGAGAACAGTGAGGGCGAGCCGCAAGAAATGCGCTCCACTTCTGCTGAGGAGGGAGCCCACCAAGCCCATCACTGTGTCACTACATGAGTAAAAATATGCAAGCCTCCTTTTTTGGGCTGGACAGTGCAGCTCGGTAGTGGCGTGAGTCTCTAGAAAGCGTTACTCCGTATCAAGGAAATACATGCTCATTTCATGTGACGAAAGGGCTGTTGGGGGGGGGGGGGGGGGGCGGGGGTCGCGGGTTAGCAGGGCATTTATGATGGGGGTCGCGGGCTAAAAACTTTGGGAACCCCTGCTCTAACCTGTCTGTGACGTCATAGTGGGTAACGCCCATGCATTGAAAACCATGGATCTATGCCACAGGACTGCCTTTTCTCTCTTCTCTCCACTGATGCCCAACACAATACTGCCCTCTACAGGTGACAATTGCTCACTACACATAAATTGCCGTTTGAGAGTGAAAAAGTGTCTGAGGTGGGATTTGAACCCCAGTGTCTGGATTGGCAGTGCATCGACACAACCACTGGATTATCTCAGTGACAACATAATGTTATAATGTAGTAGTAATATCATACTCGCTGTACACGGCCTTGTCATCTTGAATATTCGCGAAAAAATAACAAATACCAAATTGTAAACAACTTACAGCGTTGAAACGTACCCACTCTGACGTCACCAAGGGCTGTGAAGTTTTTTCGTCTCTAAGGGCGTTGCTATGGGGTTATTTCGATTTGGGGGGATCAGACAAAAAAAACAACAACTGATTTTGAAACCTTTTAGTAGTTCTCTTCTAATATAAAATGGTATTAAAACTGTATTTCTAAATAAATCAAACCCGTCATAAGGTCTTTAATATTATAAACAGTATATTCATATATTCAGTTACCCATTAAAAACACACATTCAGACCAGTGGGGGCGGGTCCCGGCACAAAAACGTCCATGAGCACGTGCGCTGACATACTTGCAATACCACCCCGGGTCTGTGGGGGTGTATCCGGAATAAGAATTATCCAATGCTTTTGTATGGTGTCTTTCCTCTCGAGAACGTCTTTACAGGATGGTCCAAAAGTCACTCCTGGTCCAAAGCTACGTTCCAGGTGCTGTCGATGCTGAGGGGAGTGTGTGTTTTTTGGACCAGTCTAGTTTAGCTGCTGTGGACTTCACATTTTCCTGCGGGGAGGGGCTGCCCAGGGCCATTTTGAAAACCCCCATAGAAGCCAAAAGTGATGGCGCATTAGTTTCAACGGCGGAGATGGGCGTGACTATGTATGTTAATATTTACAGTCTATGATTCAAACCCTTTATGTGTGTGTGTGTGTGTGTGTGTGTGTGTGTGTGTGTGTGCAGGCAGCGGGCGTGTCAACCTGGTGCCCCTCCCCCCCATGGTCACCAGCCCCCGGGACATGGCCCTGGCCGCGGTCATCTGCAGTGCTCTGGCCACAGTCCTGCTGGCTCTGCTCGTGCTCTGTGCCATTTACTGCAAGAGGCAACTGCTGCAGAAGAAACCCAGCGGTCAGTGTCTGCAACACCTCTCTCTCTCTCTCTTTCTCTCTCCTCTCTCCTTCTGAAGAAGATGACATAGTCTGGGATCGCGTCTTTCATTCAGACAGAAGACATGTTTTATTGTCGATGGTAGAGACAGCACGAACAACACAGATACAACAGAATGCAAGTGTATTATACAGAGCGGAGGCATGGAGACCTCCAATCAGCAGCTTCCACAGTGCCATGTAGCTTGGCCTTCAGATAGACAAAACAAGGGAAAAGTACTGGCTTCTGCACATTGATAGAATGATGAGTTTAACTTTAACAAAAGTTGCTTCAAAGTGTTATGAAATCTCATATTCCCCCCTCTGGTCATACATTCACGTGTGACCATCAGGATTGATAAACAGCAACATAACATCATAACTCAATACTTCAACTCGGTACTTCAAAAAACTCAGAACTCAGAACTCAATACTTAAACTCATAAAACTCATAAAACATGTTCAGATCTTTCATAAAACTTGTCAACAATCTTCAGTAAAATACCAAACTTCATCAGTCGATGGTTCCAGATATTGCTTTGAAAACAGTCTCTCCCACTTCTCCGTGTTGGATTCTTCAGGCTGCATTTGTGTCGAGCCATGAATTCTTCTGTGACGTGTCTTTCAATCACACGTTTCAGCTTCAGTGTCCAGATTCAGCAATCCAATTCAGTCCAAATTATGTCCAAATTCAGAAATCCAGATTGTTCCAAATTATGTCCAAATTGTGTAATCCAATTGTTCCAAATGGTGTCCATCCAAAAGAGGACGATGGTGTTGTCCATGTCTCAGCAGCTCACAGCCTGAGTGGAATCAGGGGCTGTGCAGATTGTCCATGTGCTGATCCAGATGCATGGTTTCTCTTGAGGTTTTTCAGTTTCGGCTTGAAAAAAAAACACTTTTTGTGTAAAAAAAAAAAGTAGTCTTCTGTTCTGTAGATGTTACAGACAATGCCCGCATCCTTCCACCACCTGAAGAAGATGACATAGTCTGGGATCGCGTCTTAAATTCAGACAGAAGACATGTTTTATTGTCGATGGTAGAGACAGCACGAACAACACGAACAACAGAATGCAAGTGTATTATACAGAGCGGAGGCATGGAGACCTCCAATCAGCAGCTGCCACAGTGCCATGTAGCTTGGCCTTCAGATAGACACAACAAGGGAAAAGTACAGGCTTCTGCACATTGATAGAATGATGAGTTTAACTTTAACAAAAGTTGCTTCAAAGTGTTATGAAATCTCATACTTCTCTTTCTCTCTCTTTCTCTCTCCTTCTCTCTCTCCTCTTTCTCTCTCCTCTCTCCTTCTCTTTCTCTCTCCTCTCTCCTTCTCTCTCTCCTCTTTCTCTCTCTTCCCCTTTTCTCCCCTTCTCTCTCCTTCTCTCTTCTCCTTCTCTCTCCTCCTCTCTCCTTCTCTTTTCTCCTTGTCTCTCCTTGTCTCTCTCCTTGTCTCTCCTTCTCTCTCTTCTCTTTCTATCTCTTCCCCTTTTCTCCCCTTCTCTCTCTCCTTGTCTCTCCTCTCTCTTCTCTTTCTCGCTCCTTCTCTCTCCTTCTCTCCCCTTCTCTCTCCTTGTTACTCCTTGTCTCTTCTCCTTCTCTCTCCTTCTCTCTCCTTGTCTCTCTCCTTCTCTCTCCTTCTCTCTCCTTCTCTCTTCTCTTCTCTCTCCTTCTCTCTTCTCCTTCTCTCCCCTTCTCTCCCCTTCTCTCTCCTTGTTACTCCTTGTCTCTTCTCCTTCTCTCTCTCCTTCTCTCTCCTTCTCTCTCTCCTTCTCTCTCCTTCTCTCTCCTTCTCTCCCCTTCTCTCTCCTTGTTACTCCTTGTCTCTCTCTCCTTCTCTCTCTCCTTCTCTCTCTCCTTCTCTCTCCTTGTCTCTCCTCCTTCTCTCCCCTTCTCTCTCCCCTTCTCTCCTCCTTCTCTCTCTCCTTCTCTCTCCTTGTCTCTCCTCCTTCTCTCCCCTTCTCTCTCCTTGTCTCTTCCCCTTCTCTCTCTCCTTCTCTCTTCTCCTTCTCTCTCCTTCTCTTTCTCTCTCCTCTCTCCTTCTCTCTCTCCTCTTTCTCTCTCCTTGTCTCTCCTTCTCTCTCTTCTCTTTCTATCTCTTCCCCTTTTCTCCCCTTCTCTCTCCTTCTCTCTCCTTGTCTCTCTCTCCTTCTCTCTCCTTCTCTCTTCTCCTTCTCTCTCCTCCTCTCTCCTTCTCTTTTCTCCTTCTCTCTCCTTGTCTCTCTCCTTGTCTCTCCTTCTCTCTCTTCTCTTTCTATCTCTTCCCCTTTTCTCCCCTTCTCTCTCTCCTTGTCTCTCCTCTCTCTTCTCTTTCTCGCTCCTTCTCTCTCCTTCTCTCCCCTTCTCTCTCCTTGTTACTCCTTGTCTCTTCTCCTTCTCTCTCCTTCTCTCTCCTTGTCTCTCTCTCATTCTCTCTCCTTCTCTCTCCTTCTCTCTTCTCCTTCTCTCTCCTTCTCTCTTCTCCTTCTCTCCCCTTCTCTCCCCTTCTCTCTCCTTGTTACTCCTTGTCTCTTCTCCTTCTCTCTCTCCTTCTCTCTCCTTCTCTCTTCTCCTTCTCTCTCCTTCTCTCCCCTTCTCTCCCCTTCTCTCTCCTTGTTACTCCTTGTCTCTCTCTCCTTCTCTCTCTCCTTCTCTCTCCTTGTCTCTCCTCCTTCTCTCCCCTTCTCTCTCCCCTTCTCTCCTCCTTCTCTCTCTCCTTCTCTCTCCTTGTCTCTCCTCCTTCTCTCCCCTTCTCTCTCCTTGTCTCTTCCCCTTCTCTCTCTCCTTCTCTCTTCTCCTTCTCTCTCCTTCTCTTTCTCTCTCCTCTCTCCTTCTCTCTCTCCTCTTTCTCTCTCCTTGTCTCTCCTTCTCTCTCTTCTCTTTCTATCTCTTCCCCTTTTCTCCCCTTCTCTCTCCTTCTCTCTCCTTGTCTCTCTCTCCTTCTCTCTCCTTCTCTCTTCTCCTTCTCTCTCCTCTCTCTCTCCTTCTCTTTTCTCCTTCTCTCTCCTTGTCTCTCTCCTTGTCTCTCCTTCTCTCTCTTCTCTTTCTATCTCTTCCCCTTTTCTCCCCTTCTCTCTCCCCTTGTCTCTCCTCTCTCTTCTCTTTCTCGCTCCTTCTCTCTCCTTCTCTCCCCTTCTCTCTCCTTGTTACTCCTTGTCTCTTCTCCTTCTCTCTCCTTCTCTCTCCTTGTCTCTCTCTCATTCTCTCTCCTTCTCTCTCCTTCTCTCTTCTCCTTCTCTCTCCTTCTCTCTTCTCCTTCTCTCCCCTTCTCTCCCCTTCTCTCTCCTTGTTACTCCTTGTCTCTTCTCCTTCTCTCTCTCCTTCTCTCTCCTTCTCTCTTCTCCTTCTCTCTCCTTCTCTCCCCTTCTCTCCCCTTCTCTCTCCTTGTTACTCCTTGTCTCTCTCTCCTTCTCTCTCTCCTTCTCTCTCCTTGTCTCTCCTCCTTCTCTCCCCTTCTCTCTCCCCTTCTCTCCTCCTTCTCTCTCTCCTTCTCTCTCCTTGTCTCTCCTCCTTCTCTCCCCTTCTCTCTCCTTGTCTCTTCCCCTTCTCTCTCTCCTTCTCTCTTCTCCTTCTCTCTCCTTCTCTTTCTCTCTCCTCTCTCCTTCTCTCTCTCCTCTTTCTCTCTCCTTGTCTCTCCTTCTCTCTCTTCTCTTTCTATCTCTGCCCCTTTTCTCCCCTTCTCTCTCCTTCTCTCTCCTTGTCTCTCTCTCCTTCTCTCTCCTTCTCTCTTCTCCTTCTCTCTCCTCCTCTCTCCTTCTCTTTTCTCCTTCTCTCTCCTTGTCTCTCTCCTTGTCTCTCCTTCTCTCTCTTCTCTTTCTATCTCTTCCTCTTTTCTCCCCTTCTCTCTCTCCTTGTCTCTCCTCTCTCTTCTCTTTCTCGCTCCTTCTCTCTCCTTCTCTCCCCTTCTCTCTCCTTGTCTCTTCTCCTTCTCTCTCCTTGTCTCTCCTTGTCTCTCTCTCCTTCTCTCTCCTTCTCTCTCCTTCTCTCTTCTCCTTCTCTCTCCTTCTCTCTTCTCCTTCTCTCCCCTTCTCTCCCCTTCTCTCTCCTTGTTACTCCTTGTCTCTTCTCCTTCTCTCTCTCCTTCTCTCTCCTTCTCTCTTCTCCTTCTCTCTCCTTCTCTCTCCTTCTCTCCCCTTCTCTCTCCTTGTTACTCCTTGTCTCTCTCTCCTTCTCTCTCTCCTTCTCTCTCCTTGTCTCTCCTCCTTCTCTCCCCTTCTCTCTCCCCTTCTCTCCTCCTTCTCTCTCTCCTTCTCTCTCCTTGTCTCTCCTCCTTCTCTCCCCTTCTCTCTCCTTGTCTCTTCCCCTTCTCTCTCTCCTTCTCTCTTCTCCTTCTCTCTCCTTCTCTTTCTCTCTCCTCTCTCCTTCTCTCTCTCCTCTTTCTCTCTCCTTGTCTCTCCTTCTCTCTCTTCTCTTTCTATCTCTTCCCCTTTTCTCCCCTTCTCTCTCCTTCTCTCTCCTTGTCTCTCTCTCCTTCTCTCTCCTTCTCTCTTCTCCTTCTCTCTCCTCCTCTCTCCTTCTCTTTTCTCCTTCTCTCTCCTTGTCTCTCTCCTTGTCTCTCCTTCTCTCTCTTCTCTTTCTATCTCTTCCCCTTTTCTCCCCTTCTCTCTCTCCTTGTCTCTCCTCTCTCTTCTCTTTCTCGCTCCTTCTCTCTCCTTCTCTCCCCTTCTCTCTCCTTGTTACTCCTTGTCTCTCTCTCCTTCTCTCTCCTTGTCTCTCTCTCCTTCTCTCTCCTTCTCTCTCCTTCTCTCTTCTCCTTCTCTCTCCTTCTCTCTTCTCCTTCTCTCCCCTTCTCTCCCCTTCTCTCTCCTTGTTACTCCTTGTCTCTTCTCCTTCTCTCTCTCCTTCTCTCTCCTTCTCTCTTCTCCTTCTCTCTCCTTCTCTCCCCTTCTCTCCCCTTCTCTCTCCTTGTTACTCCTTGTCTCTCTCTCCTTCTCTCTCTCCTTCTCTCTCCTTGTCTCTCCTCCTTCTCTCCCCTTCTCTCTCCCCTTCTCTCTCCCCTTCTCTCCTCCTTCTCTCTCTCCTTCTCTCTCCTTGTCTCTCCTCCTTCTCTCCCCTTCTCTCTCCTTGTCTCTTCCCCTTCTCTCTCTCCTTCTCTCTTCTCCTTCTCTCTCCTTCTCTTTCTCTCTCCTCTCTCCTTCTCTCTCTCCTCTTTCTCTCTCCTTGTCTCTCCTTCTCTCTCTTCTCTTTCTATCTCTTCCCCTTTTCTCCCCTTCTCTCTCCTTCTCTCTCCTTGTCTCTCTCTCCTTCTCTCTCCTTCTCTCTTCTCCTTCTCTCTCTCTCCTCTCTCCTTCTCTTTTCTCCTTCTCTCTCCTTGTCTCTCTCCTTGTCTCTCCTTCTCTCTCTTCTCTTTCTATCTCTTCCCCTTTTCTCCCCTTCTCTCTCTCCTTGTCTCTCCTCTCTCTTCTCTTTCTCGCTCCTTCTCTCTCCTTCTCTCCCCTTCTCTCTCCTTGTTACTCCTTGTCTCTTCTCCTTCTCTCTCCTTCTCTCTCCTTGTCTCTCTCTCCTTCTCTCTCCTTCTCTCTCCTTCTCTCTTCTCCTTCTCTCCCCTTCTCTCCCCTTCTCTCTCCTTGTTACTCCTTGTCTCTTCTCCTTCTCTCTCTCCTTCTCTCTCCTTCTCTCTTCTCTTCTCTCTCCTTCTCTCCCCTTCTCTCCCCTTCTCTCTCCTTGTTACTCCTTGTCTCTCTCTCCTTCTCTCTCTCCTTCTCTCTCCTTGTCTCTCCTCCTTCTCTCCCCTTCTCTCTCCCCTTCTCTCCTCCTTCTCTCTCTCCTTCTCTCTCCTTGTCTCTCCTCCTTCTCTCCCCTTCTCTCTCCTTGTCTCTTCCCCTTCTCTCTCTCCTTCTCTCTCCTCTTCTTGCCTCTTCTCCCCCCTCTCTCCTTCTCTCTCCTTCTCTCTCCTTCTCTCTCTCCTTCACAAGCACAACTGTTTATGAAGGCGACCCTGATTCCAGACCCAGTTGTTACTTCTTCATACACCTTTAAGGCTCGGTCTGTGTCTGTTTTGCCTGAGATTAAAATGACGACAAATATCAGATTATAATCCATAACAATATTAGTTAGTCATAATGAGCTGAGTAGACAGATACTTTATTGATCCCCGTAGGAGGGATCTTGTGTGGCCTAGAAGAGCCGTTTGATGCCGCTCACGTCTTTAATAGTCACGTGTGTGTGTGTGTGTGTGTGTGTGTGTGTGTGTGTGTGTGTGTGTGTGTGTGTGTGTGTGTGTGTGTGTGTGTGTGTGTGTGTGTGTGTGTGTGTGTGTGTGTGTGTGTGTGTGTGTGTGTGTGTGTGTGTGTGTGTGTGTGTGTGTTGCAGCAGTCTCCCTGCGCTCTCACGACTGCCCGTTCGCAGGAGCAGAGTCCTGTCTGGATCCTCGTTGGCTTCAGGAGCTGCAGCTGGGGCCCTGCTGCCACTGTCCCTTGGGCCCCCAGTGTTCAGGTGATGCTCAGAGTGGCTCCTAATACACACTCTATGTACACTACAGTATAGATATGTATGTTCATGTTTGTGTGTGTGTGTGTGTCCAGGCCCCGTGCAGCTGGTCCCCTCTCTGTGCTGTGAGGAGAGCTGCAGTCTGGGGCCCCTCCATAGTCTGGGGCCTATCCACTGTCTGGGGGCCCTCCACTCAGTCCCCCAGAGTCTGGAGTAAGTGAGTTACATCAGACTGTTAAAGACATGGACTTAAACATACTTAAAAAACAGTTACTTTGGTGGTACTCAGAATCCAAACTCCCTTCGAGACTTGTCCTATGTCGACAACTTTAGTCATTTTCACTGTTTCGTTTTTGAAACTTTCACTAATTAATCAATAACGCACTCACTTTTCTGTCTTTCTCAAAATATTTAATGGTGTTTAAAAGAGCAGTGTGTGAAAATGTGTCCAAAAGTGGTACTGCAGCCTCTCCCACTCTCCCTGACTCAGGTTGCCAGATATGCAGACGAATCCAGCTGGGACCATAACAGCTGAATAGACAAGAGTTCAGTCAACAACAAATCTATAACCAACACCTTTTTCACAAAGATAGAAATCCTGGTTTTATTCCTTGTTTTGTTGTTAATGATTTGAGAATCATAACGAGACCTTTTTTAGTTCTGCGCCACATGGTACTTTACCAGTGAGATTAGCTCCGGTGAGTTCTGGCGCCCGGATCACAGACTTTCTGATTGGTGAAAGGGTGGAGGGCGGGACATCAAAATGAAAACAATAACGAGATTTAGGGGCTGGAAAACTACTTTTGAAATCCAAATATCTCTGAACTACTGTTATCAGTTAAAGAAGTATTGGAAAAGAGCATTGGAAAACCCTAACCCTTTAATGATGACAGATTAGGGCTCTTTAATGATGACAGAATAGTTCCCTTTAATGATGACAGATTTGGGCCCTTTAATGATGACAGATTAGGGCCCTTTAATTATGACAGATTAGGGCCCTTTAATGATGACAGATTAACGCCCTTTATTGATGACAGATTAGGGCCCTTTAAAGATGACAGATTAGGGCCCTTTAAAGATGACAGATTAGGGCCCTGTAATGATGACAGATTAGGGCCCTTTAATGATGACAGAATAGTTCCCTTTAATGATGACAGATTTGGGCCCTTTAATGATGACAGATTAGGGACCTTTAATTATGACAGATTAGGGCCCTTTAATGATGACAGATCAACGCCCTTTATTGATGACAGATTAGGGCCCTTTAAAGATGACAGATTAGGGCCCTTTAAAGATGACAGATTAGGGCCCTGTAATGATGACAGATTAGGGCCCTTTAATGATGATAGATTAGGGCCTTTTATTGATGACAGATTAGGGCCCTTTATTGATGACAGATTAGGGCCCTTTAATGATGACAGATTAGGGCCCTGTAATGATGACAGATTAGGGCCCTGTAATGATGACAGATTAGGGCCCTGTAATGATGACAGATTAGGGCCCTTTATTGATGACACATTAGGGCCCTTTAATGATGACAGATTAGGGCCCTGTAATGATGACAGATTAGGGCCCTGTAATGATGACAGATTAGGGCCCTGTAATGATGACAGATTAGGGCCCTGTAATGATGACAGATTAGGGCCCTTTAATGATGACAGAATAGGGCCCTTTAATGATGACTTGACATGAAAATCTTACATATTTCTACTTTAACTATGCAGATAACACTCCTAAGTAAACAACCAAATGAAAACTCACTTGCCTTTAACCCTAACCCAAATTCCCAAAAGTAAACAACAACATTAAAAGAAGTTTGTTGTAATTCCAAGTACGCAGCCCTCTGATTGGACCATGTCTTTGAACACTTCACAAAACACACAATAATCTATAACTCACACATTTTCACATCTCCCAGAGCGGCTCCGAGCTGTCATTCTAACAGAACAGGTCAAAACGTGTTCCAAATGATTAACTTTGCGACGTCTCTCCGTGTTTGTTGCGTGCGTCAGTCATAATTATCTGCATTGATGAAGTCGAGACATTAAAGGAGAAACGATTAACGCCTCTTCACACCCTGACCTACGTAATTACGGTTCCTGGAGTGAACCTGCGCCTCACATCCACTCGTCACGACACCGAGCCCCCGGGCCGCGCTCACAGTTGTATTAAACCTGCTTAATTGCTAGCTTTGAAGTCCTGAAATGAAATATTACTCATCGATAAATACGATCCATAAAGCGGTGTGATTTATGAGGATGGATATGTGTGCGCAGACAAACAGAGGAAGAAGACGAGGAGTGTGGGCCCCGACAGCAGCAGGAGGCGGCGGAGGACGGGACGGGGCCTCAGTGCGAAGGTGAGGTCCCAGTCCTCTCTCTTTAGTGCAACGGAGAAGGAAGGAAGCACATTTAAAGGAGCAGTGTGTAAACATGTGGCCAAAAGTGGTACTGCAGCCTCTCCCACTCTCCCTGACTCAGGTTGCCAGATATGCAGACGAATCCAGCTGGGACCATAACAGCTGAATAGACAAGAGTTTTGTCAACAACAAATCTATAACCAACACCTTTTTCACAGAGATATAAATCCTGCTTTTATTCCTTGTTTTGTTGTTAATGATTTCTCTTTCTCCCTCTTCTTCTCTCCTTGTCTCTCCTTCCCTCTCCTTTTCTCTCCTTCTCTCCTTCCCTCTCCTTCTCTCTCCTTTTCTCTCCTTTTCTCTCCTTCTCTCTCCTTCTCTCTCCTTTTCTCTCCTTCTCTCTCCTTTTCTCTCCTTTTCTCTCCTTCTCTCTCCTTCTCTCTCCTTTTCTCTCCTTTTCTCTCCTTCTCTCTCCTTTTCTCTCCTTTTCTCTCCTTCTCTCTCCTTTTCTCTCCTTTTCTCTCCTTCTCTCTCCTTCTCTCTCCTTTTCTCTCCTTTTCTCTCCTTCTCTCTCCTTTTCTCTCCTTCTCTCTCCTTCTCTCTCCTTCTCTCTCCTTTTCTCTCCTTTTCTCTCCTTCTCTCCCTTTTCTCTCCTTTTCTCTCCTTCTCTCTCCTTCTCTCTCCTTTTCTCTCTCCTCTCTCCTCCTCTCTCCTCCTCTCTCCTTTTCTCTCCTTCTCTCTCCTCCTCTCTCCTTCTCTCTCCTCCTCTCTCTCTCCTTCTCTCCTTTTCTCTCTCCTTCTCTCTCCTTCTCTCTCCTCCCTCTCCTCTCTCTCCTCTCTCCTCCTCTCTCCTCTCTCCTCCTCTCTCCTCCTCTCTCCTTCTCTCTCCTTCTCTCTCCTCCTCTCTCTCCTTCTCTCTCCTTTTCTCTCCTTCTCTCTCCTTCCCTTTCCTCCCTCTCCTCCTCTCCTCCTCCTCCCTCTCCTCCTCCCTCTCCCCTCCCCTCTCCTCCCTCCTTCCCCTCTCCTCCCTCTCCTCCTCCCTCTCCTCCCTCCTTCCCCTCCCTCCTCTCCCCTCTCCTCCCTCTCCTCCCTCCTTCCCCTCTCCTCCCTCTCCTCCTCTCCTCCCTCCTCCCCCTCTCTCCTCCCTCTCCTCACCCATCCCCACCTCTGTGCTCTGTTCCAGGCTGACCGGGACGTCCGCAGCTCCTGTTCCCTCGCCGAAGCAGAGGCCAGACCCTGGTTCACATGACGCCCGGACCTAAACCCTCCCTCCCTCTCCTCCTCCTCCTCCCCCTCCCCTTCCACCTCCCCTCCTCCTCTCCTCCTCCCCCCTCCCCCCGTCCCCCGCCCCACTGTACGAGCCTGCAGCTGACCTCAGGGGCCCCGAATGCACACCAGGCCCGTCTGTGGATCTACAGCTGAAGCCAATGAAGTCTGACAAGAAGCAGTGACTTTCCGGACCCCTCTTGCGGCCCCTCTTGCGGCCCCTCTTGCGGCTCCTCTTGCGGCCCCTCTTGTGGCTCCTCTTGCGGCCCCTCTTGCGGCTCCTCTTGCGGCTCCTCTTGCGGCTCCTCTTGTGGCTCCTCTTGCGGCTCCTCTTGCAGCTCCACTGACTCCTCCTTTGTAGCAGAGGACCATGTGAGCCGCCGCTGGTGTGATGAAGAACCATGGAAGCCCCCGACGTTGCACATTGAAGACAATCCGGACACTCAAGCCGTGGAATGTTCTCCTTAATCCGCTGTAGATATTGTAAGATAGAATAGGCTTTTCTAATTGTGTGTAACATAGACCTCCGACGCAGTGTTACCGTGACAACTGTAGCTAGTGTTCGTACGACTGTGAAGAGTTTTTGTCATTCGATATCTGTAAATAAACTTTCTGAAAGAGTTTTTAAGCCCTTGTTCTTGCTTTCGGCTCCAGCTTGTTCCAAACAGGCTTCTCTTTCCGTGACTGACTTTGTGCCGTCGAAAGTGGTGACAAAGGAGAGTTTGCCTGCGGTGAAATGGAAACGCTCGTTAATAAAGTTACAGTAAGAGTCGCAGTCTTTGTGGTTAGTTTGATAAAGAGGAGTTTACTCCTCATGTGAAGCCTCAGGACACTCCACAGGGCACGGTTCAGGCGAGCCAAAATGACTCAGGCGCGAGATTGAAGGCTGGATGAAAAAACGAACAGATTGAAGATTTTAGTGTTTAGTGCACACTTTCTCTGTCAGGGTTCTACAGGATTCTTAAAGTCAGATTTAGGTCTTTTTCAGATCTTTTAAAGAACATTTAGAAATGAATAACCAACATAGTACAGTCTACTGCCAAAGACAAATGTATATTTACTTGTTGCTTGTGGTGTGAAGCATGCACTGGGAGGGTTTGCAGCCGAGTGTGAAGCGGCTGGGATGAGAATCAGCTCCAAATCTGAGGCCATGGTGCTCGACCGGAAAAAGGTGCCTTGCCCTCTGCAGGTGGGTGGAGAGGTCCTTCCTCAAGTGGAGGAGTTCAAGTATCTCTGGGTCTTGTTCACGAGTGAGGGAAGAATGGAGCGTGAGATTGACAGGCGGATCGGTGCAGCGTGCGCAGTGATGCGGTCGCTGTATCGGACCGTTGTGGTAAAGAGGGAGCAGCGTCTGCAGTCAGAGCTGTATCGGACTGTTGTGGTGAAGAGGGAGCAGCGTCTGCAGTCAGAGCTGTATCGGACCATTGTGGTGAAGAGGGAGCAGCGTCTGCAGTCAGAGCTGTATCGGACCATTGTGGTGAAGAGGGAGCTGAGCCGAAAGGCAAAGCTCTCGATTTACCGGTCAATCTTCGTTCCCTCCCTCACCTCTGGTCATGAGGGAGCAGCGTCTGCAGTCAGAGCTCCCTCACCTATGGTCCTGAGCTGTGGGTAATGACCTAAAGAACGAGATCGCGGATACAAGCGGTCGAAATGAGCTTCCTCCGCAGAGTGGCTGCTCCCTTAGAGATAGGGTGAGGAGCTCGGTCACACGGGAGGAGCTCGGAGTAGAGCCGCTGCTTCTCCACGTCGAGAGGAACCAGTTAAGGTGGCTCGGGCATCTGTTCCGGATGCCTCCTGGACGCCTCCCTGGGGAGGTGTTCCGGGCATGTCCCACCGGGAGGAGGCCCCGGGGAAGACCTAGGACACGCTGGAGGGACTATGTCTCCCAGCTGGCCTGGGAACGCCTTGGGGTCCCCCCAGATGAGCTGGAGGAAGTGTGTGTGGATAGGGAAGTCTGGGCGTCTCTGCTTAGACTGCTGCCCCCGCGACCCGGCAACGGATGAAGCGGAACAAAATTGAATGGAATGGCTTGTGGTGAGTGTTTTGTCTTTTGGATCAAGCAGATTAACACAACCTTTAAGACCCAGGCTTCATTTTTACAATTCCAAAAACTAACTACTCCAACTATTTTGCACTATTATTATTATTTCCATATTCATAAATTAAATGATTTTAAAATAAAGTTCTGTTACTTTTCAAATGTTTTCCAAATGCAAGCCCCAGTTAGACCCGCCCCCGCAGATTTCTGATTGGATCCAATGAACTGAAGCTGAGGCCTTTCCCCATTGGTCGAACTATTCTTCAAATCTTACCTCTGAGGCTTAGTCCAAGGAAAGAAACTGCTTTAAATATTTATTATGATCAAAATTAAGGTTTATTTATAATTAAATATAAATGAAGTTGCAGAAATTACCTTTAAGACTTTTCAAGACCCTGTAGGAACCATGTTTATATGTCCATATACTTATTATATATTTGATTAGAATTTAGATATTGGCCTATTTACTCTACAACTAAACAATACAAAAAAAAGGTAAATTGTATCTTTATTTGAAAACCTTTGGATGGGACAAGAAAAAGACTTACACAGAACTGCACTGAAGAATAAACAGCTTTTGACATTAGCAATTCATGTTTAAAAGAATTTCTTTTAGGTTTCCCTTTTTTCAGTCAGAACAGTGCAAAGAGAGGACCACCCTCACTCACCAGGGGGGCCCCCGATCTGACTCTCAGGACTCTTTCTTTCAGATTAAATGATTTATAATATGATAAAGAAATTGGGTCTGATTAGCTCAAAACTCGTTACAAGCCTCCTCATTATTCATGGGGGATAAATCTAAGTACCCCAGCTTTAGCACAGACCCAGCACCAGCTCTGACTATAATCACTGTCCCTTAGAAAATACAAAAGAGAAAACATGTTTCAAACTACCAGAAAATCTCACTTGGCAGCTTTAGATTACAAACATTTATTGACAATTCTAACAGATAAACACGGAGATGGCTTTTTAAACGGCCCCTGAGAGCCAGAGCAGACCCTGGTCACATGACGGGAAGCTCACATTAGCCGTTCTTTCACACGCTGATTCCACCGCGGAAAAACAATGTTCCGCTGTTCAGGGATGAAAGCTGTTATTACAGATCAGCCCATTCCCAGGAGGCAGCATGAGGGCCCCAACAACACTCTGTAGTTTAATATGTATAGAGTGAAGGACTTTCAACGGGAGATTTTTTCTGTTTTGTCATCAGCAAGAACTTTAAACTTAAGAATATGCAAAAATGAACAGAAAACAAGATTCATATTTGATATTTGGTGATATCACCTCTGAGCCATTCCTCATTCAGACAAATCTAGAGAAAAGCTCCTCAGATGTGCTTTATAAGATGATATTATAGTTTCATTAAAAAGAGCACTTTATTGTTTACTGAATTAACATTTCCAAGTGCGTTGATAATTAGTCCGGCAGCATTGAAGAGCTGAGGCCAGACGTCTCGAGTCCAGTGTGTAAAGCTCATGTATGTCCTTTTTCTCTTGTTGGTGATGTCATGAGTTGGTGATGTCATGAGTTGGTGATGTCATGAGTTGGTGATGTCATGAGTTGGTGATGTCATGAGCGGGGACAGAGAGCGGCGGTGCTCAGCCCTCAGAGTCCATCAGGAAGGTCTCGAAGTTGGGGTTGAGTTCTGACACCAGCGCATCCACAAAGTCCTCCAGGGTGGGCCGTCTCTGCAGCATCCCTAACACACACACACGCACACGCACACGCGCGCGCACACACACACACACACACAAAATCTCACTTGGCAGCTTTAGATTACAAACATTTATTGACAATTCTAACAGATAAACACGGAGATGGCTTTTTAAACGGCCCCTGAGAGCCAGAGCAGACCCTGGTCACATGACGGGAAGCTCACATTAGCCGTTCTTTCACACGCTGATTCCACCGCGGAAAAACAATGTTCCGCTGTTCAGGGATGAAAGCTGTTATTACAGATCAGCCCATTCCCAGGAGGCAGCATGAGGGCCCCAACAACACTCTGTAGTTTAATATGTATAGAGTGAAGGACTTTCAACGGGAGATTTTTTCTGTTTTGTCATCAGCAAGAACTTTAAACTTAAGAATATGCAAAAATGAACAGAAAACAAGATTCATATTTGATATTTGGTGATATCACCTCTGAGCCATTCCTCATTCAGACAAATCTAGAGAAAAGCTCCTCAGATGTGCTTTATAAGATGATATTATAGTTTCATTAAAAAGAGCACTTTATTGTTTACTGAATTAACATTTCCAAGTGCGTTGATAATTAGTCCGGCAGCATTGAAGAGCTGAGGCCAGACGTCTCGAGTCCAGTGTGTAAAGCTCATGTATGTCCTTTTTCTCTTGTTGGTGATGTCATGAGTTGGTGATGTCATGAGTTGGTGATGTCATGAGTTGGTGATGTCATGAGTTGGTGATGTCATGAGCGGGGACAGAGAGCGGCGGTGCTCAGCCCTCAGAGTCCATCAGGAAGGTCTCGAAGTTGGGGTTGAGTTCTGACACCAGCGCATCCACAAAGTCCTCCAGGGTGGGCCGTCTCTGCAGCATCCCTAACACACACACACGCACACGCACACGCGCGCGCACACACACACACACACACACACACACACACACACACACACAAAAAATGCTTAAGAATGGGGCTTGGATCCAAACACAGAATACAGAACATACAGTATTACTATAAGAATGTTCATGATAATTCCTTCCACACAGAACAAACGTGGAAATGTGAAATCTGTGCGAGGTCTGGTGAAAAACAGGCACAAAGACAGAAAATAGTGTTATGGAAGTTATTCAGTTTATGTCAGATTGCTGTGGAGGTTAGAGACTGGATTATGCAGTGTTTGAAACTTGATCACAGACTGTTTTCATCTTCCCCCATTCGTACCCACTGCTCTGGGCCATGTGTGAAAGCCACTGCTAGCTACAATTAAAGCTGGAGTACGTTTTGTTTGAAAACAATCCACATTTTCTGAATGTCAATGTCTGTAGTATCCATGGATCTATGATAATAACTGGATAGAGTATTACTATCTTACTGCTGTCCCACCCATGGCCACAGGGGGCGCTGTGGTACTGCAGACTAAATTCACGAGGGATACCCAGAAAAAAGGTCCAATAGAACTCAATGTAAACTAAAACAGCTCGACCTCAGCTGACAGAGAACCTGACAGAGAACTTACAGCTTTCATAAACATCAGATTTTGTGGGGATTTTAGTGTCCCTTGTCATCCTGAACTTTTCTTCTTCTTAAATCCTTCGGTTCTCTTTCAACATTTCGTGAGGTATCTCACATATGGGAACGCTCTCTGGCTGTTTCCCCAGAAGCCCTATTTCACCATGCCAGTCTCCTG